TTTATCGATATATAGCGTTATATTCTAATCGATACAAAACGATTAATTGTTATATATCGATGATTATCTATTAAAAACTTTTCCAATGTTATGCAAAACTTCTGCAGGATATTAGACTTATAGTTTTATTATTTGAAGACCTATCCACTAGGTGCTTGCTTTAATAAACAGGATACTGGCGCAATTTGCTAAAGTAAAAAAAAAATATACAATAATTTTTTAACTCTAATAGATTAGATATCTCTATAGCATAGTTAACTAAGCTTTACAACAAACTTATTAATCATTGATATCTGTTAACTATCAACTCTATAAAAAACAATACCAATATATATACAATATTGTAAAGCTATATCTAATTATTTATATACTAACTACTAATAATATGTCTAATATTAGTATTTTGCGAAGCAATGGTAAAGTAAATACATCTGCACTATTGGCGCAGCTGTCTTTACTTGCTTCGCAAAATACTGATGATACAGATACAGAATTAGAATTTAACGAAATAATTTTATTATAAATAATAAATATAAAATATATATAAATAATAAAAATAGATATAGATAACAAAAATTATATTACAAGAATTTATAAATTTGATAATGCTGTTCGAAATGAAAGAACAATTCTTTAACCCCAAATAATTCACTACCTTCATCATCCCATTTATGTGATATTTTAATTACTTGAATTTCATTAAACTTTACACAATAAACTTTATTTTTTGTTAATATCTCCATATTTTGTAAAGCAATTTCTGTTGTACGTCATATAGTAGGATCTTTTCTTAGTTCTAAACAAACATCTAAATTTTAATAATAACTAAAAATTATAAAATTTATTAGTACAAGATTTCTTTTTATACATATTTGCAAGCTACAGCAATCTGAAGATATAACTTGGAATCTGAGTCAATAAAGTAAATTTAAAATAAACTATATATTTTGTCAATTAATATATAAATTAATAAAGTAAATTTAAAATAAACAATATATTTTGTCGATCAATATATAAATTGATAAAGTAAATTTAAAATAAACAATATTATATATAAATTTATAATAACAATATATTTGTTGATCATTAATATATTGTTATTGTAAATTTACAATAACAATATATCAATAATCAACAAATATATTGTTATTTTATATAATGTTTTGAAAAAATTTTGTAAAAAACTCAAAAAGCATTACATAAAAAATTAAATTTTTTAAAAAAACTTAGCTAATCAAAATTAAATATATGATTAACAATTTTTGTTTACATAATTGATAATCTATAAAAAAATTTTTGTTATTTTTTTTTGTTGTTTTATCTTTTTTTTTTTTCATGTCTTGCTTTTTCATAAAAAAGTTGGTATTTTTTTTTGGTTTTTTTTTTTTTCTTTTTTATGATTAAAAAAACCTGCAGTAGTCTGAAACACACCAACTCCAACCACTTAATAAAAAAATAGTTTGTAATATTTCTTTCTCTATTGGTAACTATTTTTTGTTACTTGTATTAGTAACGTTATTTTAATGTTTTTTCTTTTTTTTGGCCGGTTCTCTTGGTGTTTCAGACTATGAGAATATTTTTTCTTTTATTTTTTTTTGTTTTTTAAAACAAAATACTAACTTTTTTTTTTTTAATATATTTAGAATGTGTCGATATTAAGATTAAATAATAATTTTTAACAAAAAATTTATTTTTTTTTGTTTTTTGTAAAAATTTTTGTTTTTTTTTGTTAAAAAAAGTTAGTATTTTGCTTTTTTATTTTTTTTTATAACTAAATGATTAGTATACTAGTTAAAGGGTAAGAACTTGGTGTTTTCTTGTTTAGGTAACTGGGGCCTAATCTATTAAACACACTGATAGTATCTTTATGAATGACTAGTTCGATACTATTCATCATAATATGCACGTAACAATTTTTAAGTTTTTAACTAATGATAGAGTTTATTTTTTATTATATTTTTTTTGTTTGCAAACAATTTTAATAGCTATTTTTTTTACTTTTTTTAAAAATAGATTTGGAAAAAAATATCGATACAGTAATCTTTTCGCTTCTCAAAATAAAGAAAAAAAATAAAAGAAGAGCTGAAAGAAACTCCTTGTTATGATTGTAATAAACTAAAAGATAATTGTAAGAGTATATTTAAGAAATATAACAAAGGTTTATCTCTTATCGAAAATATAGTAAAACTTCAAAAAGAAGTTGATGAAACAAATAGTGAATATTTTAAATTAAACAAAAAATATATCACTCTAAAAGAAAAATATGAGTCTCTCAATGATTAATTTTTTTTTTAAAAAAAATTTATTTTTTTTTAATTAGTTTTTTTTATATTTTTTTATTTTTATTTTTTACAAAAATATATTTTTTTTATAAAATATCTTTTTTTTGTTTTTTTTTATTTTTATTTTTAATAAAATTATATTTTTAAAAATTTTTTTTATATAATAAAGTTAAAAAAAATAAAATTTTGCAATTTAAGTACTAACAAAATACTTTAATAAAATAGTTCTCTTAATTTTATTTTATAATTAATCAACCCCTCTAGAGTCTCTCATGCTTGGGGAGCAACTACAAAACCCTGTTTTGCAGTACACGCTGCATAGTTGCCAAGGTGACTAAGTGCGCTATCCTCTCAAAACCTTTGACTTGTGATAAATGTAGTAACTGTATTGTGAGATTTCACAAAATGCCTCATGCTTATGAATTTGTGGCTTGTAAACAAGCTACAAATTAAATGCTACTCATTTTTTGAAATCTCACAAAGTTAAATACTGTGCTCCAGAGCCATACAGGCTCTTTTGGTCAAAATTGCAAGTGATTTTGTTGATACTTATAAACCCAATTTTCTATAAGTGAATGTGGGTATTTGAATCATATATTTTTACGTTGATTTGAGGTTTCCGAATTGTTTATTTCATTGTTGATGAAATCATTAATATGGTTCAGCACCCTGTCTCACACTCAAATCATTGTAGCAAATGTGCTCTTAAATTGTAACTATTTATTAATTTTTACCTTGTGCTTATAAATTTGTGGCTTGTAAACAAGCCACAAATTAAATGCTACTCATTTTTTGTAAAATCTCACAAAGTTAAATAAATAAAAATTTGTAATTTGGTTTTAAAAAATATAAAAAGAATTTATATAAATAAAGTTATTTTATTTATTAAAATAAAAAATAGAAGAAAATACAGCAGAACAAGAAACAATTAATATATTTAGACAACAAATTGAAGATTTGATTAAAGAGAATAATGAGTTAAAAACAAAAAATAAAGAATTAACTGAAGCTATAAAACAAATTGAAAATTTAATTCAAGAAAATAATAAATTAAAAATAAAAAATGAAGAATTAACTAAAGCAGCAGAACAAATTGAAAATTTAATTCAAGAAAATAATGAATTAAAAACAAAAAATGAAGAATTAACAGAATCAAATCAAAGATTAGAAAAAATAAATAATGCACAAAATTTATTGTTAAGAGATGCAATTGATAAAACTAAGTTTTACAAAGCTGGAAATTTTCAAGAATTTGATACTTTTATTTATAATTATACATTTGGATTAATTAATTGAGTCTTAAATTTATTGGATTATATCAAATTTGGAGATTATTCTTTGAAAAATATTTTTAATTTTTTAAATTTGAAAGAAAGAATTATTAATAATTATTATATACAAATCATTTATAAAAAATTTATTAGAGCAATTTTAGTTTTTTCTTATTTTTTATTACAAAATATAGTATTCGAGTTAAAATTTTAGAATTAGTATTTGTAAATATCATTACAATATATTTTTCTTTATATTTAATTTTTTTTGTTTTAAACAAAATAAATTTAAGGGTAGAGTATACGTAGATTATTTATCATATGATCTGCATAGCAAATTTTTTTTGTATAACAAATTACATAGTAAACACAAATCTAATTGGGTAATTCCTGTTTTAGAAATATTTTTACTATATTTTTTTGTGTAACCCCAGCAAATTTGAGAAATTTTCAGGAACTTTACAACATATGTATGTCTATTTTTTAAAAATAATATAGCCCCCGAAAGTTTACTACCATAAATAGAAGGTTTGATTTGTATATTACAAAATTTTGGTAAAATTTAACTGTGGTTTTAAGAATTTTTACTAGAGACATATTTTAATTTATGCATAAAATCCTATTATATCACTGAGATCATATAATAAATGATCAATATATATTTTAACCTTAAATGATCTGATTGCAATTCTTATTATTTAATTATTTTTGCAAAAATAAGTTTCTTTTTTATCATTATTTGTAAT